TCGGCCAAGTGTCATTCGACGACCAATATTACAAATTGGCCAAAAGTTCCGGAATTGCCGAAAGCTACTACCAAGCAATCCACTGAACTTCAGAACGCAGCGCATTTAATTTCCCAAGCAGTAAATGCCTCATCAGGAAATAATCTTAATAATAGCCATGCTGCTCCGAACCTCATTAGCATCAACAGCAGCAATAATGGGAATCTCGAAGGAGCGGGGAGTAAAAGTAATACAGACCTCACGGAGTTAAATGGAAAAATAAACGAATTAATTGGTAGATTTTTAGAACTAGATTTTTTGTGTGCTTCAAATATTGTTTGTTTTTGGTAGAACTTGCAAAAATGCAGTCGATGCAAATTAACAACCTTCAAGCAGAAATATCCAGCATGAAGAAAGCTAATCCCATGTCATCCACGAAAAGTATGTCCGAGTTCTCATTTAAACTCGAAATGCAGCTATCAAAGCTGATGGAGCAATATCTTAAACGTTATGAAAATGAGCACAAAAAAAAGTTGACTGCTTTTATGGCCGGACGGTACTTCAACATTTTATTAATAACTAGACTAAAAGTAATAATTGTATATTGATTTTCGTCAATAGGGAGCAGCAAAATAGAGAGTTACGTGACAGTTTCATACAGATAATGAATCAATATGTATTAACTCATCTTGGTGATGTAGTATCTAAAGTGATAAACATCGAAATTCAACGTCAATTAGCGCCAATGTTATCAGCGAAGATTGATCACTTGCAGCAACAAATACAAATAGATGTCGCTCAGAAGCTAACAGCATTTGATCTCATGCTTAAGGATAACATTTCACAAGTGTGCAAAAGCAAGGTTTGTCTGAGTAAAGTTCAGCAATTGTAATCATCGTAACTTGTAAGTTTGGTTTCAGAACATAATTGACACTTTTGGAAAATCCGTTTTGGTGGGGGTTCAAGGGAGTCTGCAGGCAGCATTCATTGAATCCATGTCAAGTACTTTGATACCTGCATACGAAAAGTCTTCACAAAATATGTTTAAGCAGCTACATGACGCATTTTCTGTTGGAATCAAAGAATGTATGTATGTTTTCAAATTATTATTTGATCAATAAACGTAATAATATTTTCTGTTTATATATAGTTATGGAGCAGTTCGACAATTATCTTCAACATTTACAACCTATGCAAGACTCCACTGAAGAGGTTCTCAATAAGTTCTCTGGCTTTCGGCAACATTTGGACTCAATACTGATCAAGCATCGCAACGCCGTTTCAGAAACCATGCTTGAGACACGAAAGGACGTAAAAAGTTTGGAGATTTTACTATCTCGACAAATCCAAGAAACTATCCGTACTGAGGTAGCTTATTTGTGATTAGACATACATACATACATACATACATACATACATCATAATTTCTTAACAACCGTTTATTATCTTTTAAGATGCGAAGATGTTTTGAAAATCAAACAATTGCGTTACGTTCCCAAACTAATACACCAGCTCCGATGTATGACTTAAAAGACACTATAAAATTATTATTACATCAAGGTCAAATAAACAAGGCATTTCACCAAGCTTTGCTTGCCAATGACTTAAATTTGGTTGAATTTACCTTAAAGGCTGCCGATCACGGGGTGGTCTTTTCACCCGACTGCTGTTTGGAACAGAAGGTGCTTCTATCACTAATCCAACAAATCTCGGCCGATATGAGTAATCACAATGAAGTGAAGCAAAAGTATGTTTAGTGTTTTTTTTTTTATAAATTTTAAATAGCATTCGATTTACCTTTAATCTTGCAGTTATTTAGCCGATGCTTTACTTGCTATAAATCCAACCGATCCCATTACACGTGAGCATGCGCCAAAAGTATTGCAAGAACTATTCCGTAATTGCCAAATGTTTTTGGTAAACCATTCTAAAAGCCCGCAGTGTAGCAATGTGCGAATGTTGATGAAGGCGGTTCAGGCCTATATGGATCAATTTTAAGATTTGTCATCATTGTTTTCCGCCATATATGCTCACCCAGTACCAACAGCTCAAAGGACATTTCCACTCCAACGGCACCCAGCATAGCTGCAGTATATCCGTTTAACTAAATAACCACTATCCTATTAATGACGAAATGCCTTCGTAACTGAATTGGCAGCAATCGAAATACAGATTCACTGACTTCACTCATATTAAAGAAAGAAATAAATTACAGACCATCAAGATAATTGATAAACAAATAAAATGAAAGTCGTAAAATATTTTGTAGAGTGATATATTTTTGTAGAGTCGAAAGAATTCAAGTTTTAATTTTAAGTTTTAATTCTATGAGGAAGGATGTGATTTTATGTTTATTATGTTTATTATTTTTTCAATTAAAAAGTAACAAATTATGTAAAATGGAGATCAATAACATATGTATGTTTGCATTTACGAACCTTTCGCGGATTCCATTTCTAAGTTGAAAAATATAATAGTAATATTTATAGAATTAAATATTTCTTTGCCGATGACCCTTCATTTAATTAACCATTAATAACGTCTTATTTTGGGGAAAAAATGTATAAAAGCTTCTGATTCGCAATAGCCATGAGCTTTAAGGAGTCATTCGCAGTGGAAAAAAATCTTAGCTTGTGAACGTGGAAACGCAGTGGAGTAGCTACCCATCACAAAAGACAAAGAATTCGAATGCTTGCCAATAGACTACGATTTTTTGTTTGTTTAAATACTTGAATAATTATGTTTTCTGTCCAGTTTTACCTACTGTTTTTCAGTAATCAACCACTTGTTCGCCTTTTTATCTAAAAATTGTTCTACTGCAGTTAAACTCAAGTTGTTCTTAATTATCAAATATTATTATATTATATTAATTTATATTTTTAGGATTTCCCAAACTAAGTTTTTAAGTTTTTGGAACTGTCTTTTGTGAAAGAAAGCAACCTTTAGGAGGTGCATATAGTCCTAAAATTTCATCGAAAATAGCATAAGCGACCCGTTACTCAAAAAGGAAGCGATTTTGAGATGATAATCAAACTCAACAGAATTCTGCGAGTTTTGAAGTATGGAGAACACAGTCTACAATGACACTTTGAAGAGAAAATAACGGAGCTACCGAAATTTGTTATAAAAGCAAACTAAAAGTTGCATTAACTTTAATTAGGGAGGTTCAGGATATTATGCAAATGGTCTTGGATTGCCATTTGCAAATTTTATCCTTGCTACCATGGTACCGTTTGCATTTTATTGTTGTAAATTTAGAAATGCTCCGAAATTTGCAAATGTAAAATCATTTAAGAAAGTAGATTTTTTGAAGCGATGTAAACTAGGGCTACTCAGACGTTCACATGACAGTCGGGTCTACGTATCCGGAACGACCCAGATTTATATCTGGTCAATCCAGCAACACTCGCCAAAAACAACAGGGCTACTCAGAGCTTTGTTCCATTAAGTAAGAGAGACAAATCACATTTCTCAAAGTGGAAAAACAATATGAAATTAATATATGTATACATACCGTTACTTTAATTTACAAAGGCCCTAACCCCTAATATGTAATACTTCTATATTGATAGTAACATACCTTCACAATGTGTTTTTTATTACGCAATCAAAGGGAGGCAGCCCATCAAATAAATGTTCGCTTGTGTTAGTATAAATGTACCCAATGGGACTGAAAGTTAGCTGCTCCCGAAAGGAGCAAGTACGGAGTAGTACAAAAGCAAAGTAAAAAATAAATTTTTAAATTTCTGACAATGCTCAGAAATAAATATCATTTTGAGTAGTAAGATAAAATATTTTCTTTTGAAAAAAAGTTTATTTATGTGTAAACATGTATGNATTTTTAAATTTCTGACAATGCTCAGAAATAAATATCATTTTGAGTAGTAAGATAAAATATTTTCTTTTGAAAAAAAGTTTATTTATGTGTAAACATGTATGTATGTATGTACAGTGCCGGACAAAAGTATTGGCACAGAGAATTTTTCGCAATATATGCAAAGTTTTTTATTCTAATTTATTTTCACGGAGGATAATATTATTGACTATGTCGCAAAGCACTCAACTGCCAATAAAAATAGTATGTCTTGCTACAAGCTGGTAAAAAAAGGTACACCT